AAGGCAAATGCAAAACAACTGAGGCACAAATATAGTCCTACTAGCAAAAATCAACAGAAATGGACACAAACACAGTATCTAAGCACTCTTCTTTCTTTTTATTGTACGGGTGTTTGTTTTTCATGCTATCTCCCATGTGAGCTCTTTAGTTATAATAGAGAATGTCTACCTGTCTTCCAGAAGTTTGTGTAGCACTCCTTCCTCTTCTCTAAAATATGAAGTGCTATCTCCCAAGAATTAGCCTGCATTCCCTGCTTTTTGAAATAAACATAGACTATATAGAATTAGTTCTATGCAAACCAACTTTTAGAGAACTGAGTAGATTTTCAGAATCACTGTGGGATGGGTAATACTTGTCCTTTGAACAGCCTTCTCCTGGGTCCTATATTGAGAAGCCTTCAATGTCTTTTCCAGAATATGAGAAACTGAGTAGGGGATACAAAGCCAATGTCTGAATGCACACATGATAACAATGAGCCTGGGAGACTAACTTAAGCAGACAAATATAAATTTCAGTTCAATAAAAAAGTATTCATAACATTAGAAGGCATTTCAAGTTTTTCAGAAAGTATTCTGAAAATATTGCCTTCATGAAACAGAAGTAAATTTTTCTAAACGACTTGTATAAAATATCATCTATGAAAAAAGAACATCATGAATCAAAAATCAGGGAAATAAAAAATGAAACCTCAATTAGAAAAATGTAAAATTCTTAATAGAAATAATTATTAATAATATAGATAATGAATTCAAGAATATTTTGAGAGTATACATACATATTTTTTAAAAAGGAATGAGAGAGGAAATATCAGGGAAATTAGTCTCAGTTATGTCAGAAAATATGGTTCAGATATTCCTAAAAGAACTATTAAAAAAATTCTTACATATGTCATGTTTCATGCAACTCTGAATCAAGGTAATGATTGGGAATTAATTGTCAAGATCTATGAGTAACGTCTACTTAAACTATTTAGAAAATTTCTTCAAAATTTCTAAGCTGAAAAATATTGCCTACAAAAAAGCATTAAATTGAATTGATCTCTGAATTTTCCATTTGTATACATACATTCAATTAGTATTATAATACACAGAAAATTGTAAAAGGAAATTATCTGGAGTTCAGATTTTATATATCCACTATCCTGTAATTCATATGAGAAGACAGCAGAAAGATAATTCTCCAAAATGAGAAAATAAGAAACATAATATGCAATTACCTTTGCTGTAAAATTACCTAAAAATATTCACGACATTACCAAGTAATAATCATAACAAAAATTAATGAATGGAGAAGCTGCATTGGAAAATAAATAGAGGCATTTTTTCCTCAAATAGTAATGTATTTACATTTGTCTTTTTCTCTAATTTAGGGCACTTCTCGCAGATCATACATATTAATTATTAACAGGATTAGTCACGGATCTTTTCACAAATCCCCCTTTCACCTCTCCTCTCAGAATTCTCAGAAGCTTCTGTGGTTTAAGAAATTAAACTTAGTTACCCCTTAACCTCATGGAGTCACTGTCTCAGACTCTATTTTGGCAAAGATTACTTGTAAATATCAGTTATTTATACCAGAGCTTGAAATAAACGTTCCAATCTTCCATACCCCAAATCCATCACAAAGTGTCAAAAGTTTTACATTCAAATTATTTGCTCAGATGTATCTCCATTCTATTTCTCTGTTGTTACGCCTTTATCCAAGCCTCTAAATTTCTGTGTTTCCAATAGTATAGCACCTTCCTGAGTGAA